TAGTAAAAACAAAATCTTGTATAATTGCTATCAAAGAAAGTCAGATGGGAATTTTTTAAGGTGGAAGTTTTAAAACCATATGGAAATTATTATTTAAATGAGAAAAGTAAATAGTCTAAGTGAAGTTGCTGAGAAGGTAGCTGAGACTTAGAGCTTGGGTGGCACAACTAACCTTGGAAGAGTCACATCCTTTCCCTTTGAATAGGAGAGAAGAATGGGAAGAAGTGCAGGTAGGTCTATAGATTTGGGCAAAAGGAAGGTTAAGGAATTTCTATCTGATGCTTGAAATTTTTTTGTAACTTTGAAAGTGCATTCATTTATAATTAAGATTTCTTTGAAGAACACTGTGCTGTGAGCCCTTCTCCCCAAGAAACAAGGAGAATCACTGGCTAGCACTGTAATAATAAAAACTGTTCTTGCTCTCTCTCTCTCTCTCTCTCTCTCTCTCTCTCTCTCTCTCTCTCTCTCTCTCTCTGTGTGTGTGTGTGTGTGTGTGTGTGTGTGTGTTCAGGTATGCCTGCTTTCTCAGAAGCTGTCACAGCAAGGGATGTGTGAGTGTAACCCAGGGATTGGACAAGAGCCACACAGGTGGGACAGATACACAGTTAGTGGTCCTCTGTCATATGAGGTCTCATAAGAAATCACAAAAGCATCCATGAGTCAGCTTTGAATACCCTGTAGGCCCAGATTATGAAAAGCCAGTTTACAATATAATTAGTCAAAGAAGAACTTCCTGTCTCCCTTAGTCATTTTTCTTCTTGTTTTGCCTCTTAACCAGGGTGGCCAGACATAGCAAATCAAAATACAGGATGCTCAATTAAATTGGAATTTGAGGTTACCAGTAAATACTTTTTTAGTATTATGCATTTAGCATTATATACCATGCAATATGTGCTTTAGACTAAAAAATTTTCATTGTTTATTTCAAATTCTAACTTAACAGATTATCCTGTATTTTATCTGTTACTCTATCCATGGTCAAAAACTACTGTTAGTGAGATGAGAAGAAAGGCTAAAGGTCTGAGGTAGAGAAAGAGAGAACCATAGTCCATTTACCAGCTGTAGACCCTTCACCTGTAGCAGGTTCTAGCTGGGGTAGGACAAGTAGCTAGAACTTCAAGTTGAAAGCCTTGCTTATTATATGGGATGGGAATTCTAGGTAACTGCTTAAAATTGTTCTGTTCCTTAAAGAAACAGAAAAGATGAAAACAATATTGAAGGTAGTTCATGATTTCATTCCATGACTTCTGTTTGATTTATGGATAACATTTATGTGTACAAAAGAAATAAATCAGGTAGTATGTATACCAAACTGCCAACAGTGCTTATTTCTCACATCACAGTGGACTTTTCCCTTCAACTCTCTTCAATTTTATTGTCTGAATTACAATAAATATGAATTACTTTGATCCTCAAAGTTAATAAAGATTTGCTAGACTTGTTATTTCCCGGTTAGTATTTTCTGAACATCTTTTCATGTGAATATTATTATCAAAAGTGGTTTCTCTAGGTGCTTCATATCCCACTAGATAACTAGCAAAATGTATTCAGCCCCTGATTCAAGTTATCTTCTCCTTCATGAACACACATAATAATGCAATGAAACCCTTACAATTTACTCTTTGTGCACATATTTACTTATTACCTTAGAATATATTCCTAGAAATTGAATGGCTAAACCCAATAGTTAAATGTATGTTTTTAAGAGTGACAAAATATCTGCTTAAAGGCTGCCTATGTAGACCAACTACCGTGTAAGTAATTATTAATATGCATCTCATTGTTTTGATTGCCATTTCTTTTAATATTGAAATGAATAGTTTTTCAAATGTTTCTTGGCCATTTGTGTTTTTCTATTAGTTTGATGGATGCTCAATGGATGGACGCTAAATTGATGGATACTGGCAGAATTATGTTAACTTGTCCACACAGGCAACCCCTACAATGCAGGCGCGCGCGCGCACACACACACACACACACACACACACACACACACCACAGTGTGTTACCAGTCAATAAACAATGATTGAATAATTAATACATGAATAGATTATTTAAAGAATGCAGTCAAATGAAACCCTCTTACTTATTTGGCTATCAACATCTTCATGATTTATTCATCCATACAACAAACTACTGTGTACAGGGCTCAATGCTAAGCCATTTTTAAAAAGTAATTTCAATCAATAAAAAAAATTGTAAAAATTACAAACATTCCAGGAGTAGATTGGCTATATAGCTTCAGTGGAAGAGCTTTTGTGAATTGACCAATGTTCTAGGTACTTTGAGGTTTATATACCAACTTTAATTTATTTTTATTTTTATTTATCTTTTTGGTACCTGAGATTGAACCCAGGGGCATTTAACTACTGAGCTACATACCCAGAACTTTTTATATTTTATTTAAACACAGGGTCTCACTAAGTTGTTGAGCCTAGCCTTGAGGTTTTGATCCTCCTGCCTCAGCCTCCCAAGTCACTGGAATTATAGGCATGCACCACTGCACCCGGGCCCGACTTTAAATTTTTAAATAGTTGTTGACAAAACCATTTCTACAAGATATTATGCAAATGTTTCTGGGTCTTCTTAAACATGGTACTCCATACATGCAACTATACATGGATGGGATCCAAGGGTGCAGAAATAAGTTTGTTACCTTGATTGTTACTTTAATTGATGGAGGTGCCTGAGAAACTTTTGGACATCATGCATCTCACTGTCCCTGCCACCATGACCAAAACTCCTCTGTCCTATCATCAAATGTCTGCTGTTTCTATTGCCAGTGACTCCTGCCTTTTTCTTATTCCTTTTCTCTTCAGTTGCTTCTCCAATGCCTCTTGACTTTCAAGTGTAAAAAATGACATTTTCTATTTATTGCCTATTATCAATAGTGTAATTTTCCTTTTGGGTGATAACCCAAGTAGTTGCCTCACGTTTGGAGTGCTTCTTCAGTTGTCCTTTTGGCCCATGTTGTTTTATGCTGGTTGTGAACACGTTGTTCTTTCACTATCAAAATTATTTTGAACTGCTTCGAAGTCCATGAGAATTCTAGAAGTCCAATTACCAAACAACATGTGCATTGTCCTCTTGCTGGCATCATGTGAATGTGAAATTTTATACAAGGGGACCTCAGTGTGGGGTTGAATCCACCAGTGGCTCTTTTTTTAAAAAAAAAATTCTTTGTAAGACGTGGATGGACCTTTGTTTTATTTATTGATACGTGGTGCTGAGAATTGAACCCAGTGTCTCACACATGCTAAGTGAGTGCTCTACCACTGAGCTACAACCCCAGCCCCTCCACCAATGGCTCTTAAAGGGTGATTTGATAGATTTCCAAGTCAGTTCTTCTCTCATGCCATTGATAGGAGTTTCTGAAGAAAGTTCTTTCTGATATTTCTAATACATGTTCCTTAGAAATTTTCTCATCAGTATCTGGATCCATCAGTCTCACTGAGGGATGCGATCATCTTTCTGGTCTCCATCTTTCTTTGGTAGTTTTAAGACTTTAGGGAAAGTAATCTTCAATTTCTTCACCACAGTTTGGAGTCTGCTTTCTAGGACAAATTGAGAGTCTCCATTTTCTGATCAGTAAAGAAGTCCTGAACCTGAGGATGAAGTTGTAACCAGGAAGAAAGAAAAAAACAAAACAAAACATGTTTTAGTAACCCTGCCATACGCAGATGTGAATGGGAAGTAAAGTCACATTGTTAAAAGAAAATCCTCAAGTTTTGGGGTCTTGTTGTCTTTGACTAGAGGTGAATTTTTGGGGTGGGGGTGGGGGGAGGACAGGTACTGGGGATTGAACATACAGGTGCTTAACCACACATCCCCAGCCCTTTATATTTTTCATTTTGAGACTAACTAACTTGCCAAGCCTGGCCTTAAACTTTTGATCCTCCTGCCTCAGCCTCCTGAGTTGCTGGAATTACAGGAGTTTTCCACTGTGCCCTACAAGAATGGTTAATTCTTTTTTTTTTTTTTTTGAGAGAGAGAGAGAGAGAGAGAGAGAGAGAGAGAGAGAGAATTTTTAATATTTAATTTTTTAGTTTTTGGTGGACACAACATCTTTATTTTATTTTTATGTGGTGCTGAGGATTGAACCCAGCACTCTGCGCATGCCAGGCAAGTGTGCTATAGCTTGAGCCACATCCCCAGCCCAAGGATGGTTAATTATTAATGAAATGTTTGAGTCTCTTTACCACCCCATTCAGTGTTGTTGCAGCACCTCTTTCTTCTGACAATGTACTCAGTTATGATGTAGGAGTGGGGGTGGAAGAACAAATCAGGGAATGCTGTGGAGGCTGCTATGGGAAAATCCCAAAGGCTGAGATGAGTGGGGAAGGCAGAGGGAGAGGAGGGAGGGGAGGGGGCTACCCAGGCCTGAGTGCTATGGGCACAATGCAATGGTTACAAAGATAAGCAGCGAGTGCTTTCTGTCAACAACTGAAATCACCACCAACACAACAAAAAGCAAAGTCTTTCCTTCGAGATGATTCCACCTGCCTTTGACACCAGGCGTCACACATCTGGCTCACTGGTATTTCATTGAAGTGGCCGCCTGTGTAGAGTTCAGAGCGGAAAATAATGAAGTAGGTTTTGCCTCTTCCCTTTTACAGTAGCCCCCAAAAGAGTGTACATTTGATAAGGGCCAAAGTCTGTTTGTGAAAAGAAACCTCTGAGGGGAGATAGAGCACCTAAGACCAAAGACCTTAATTTTGCCTCAAATTTTGGCTATACTGTTTCTATAGAGACCAAAGGGAAGCTGTGGCTCCCCACTCAGCTATTAAAGTTTAGTGCATTGAAAACTGTCTTCATGCTGTGATACCCTTTCAGGGAGGAGAATAGGGTCTGAACTAATCCATGAAAGTTGTCATGCTATGAACTAGTAGTCAAGCTTTTTCCTTTCAATTGAATCTAAAACTATACTGTACTTCACACTTGATTGGTCCTTCAGATGGAAGGATTCAATATCCCTGCTGGAAATCAGCTCGTCTTCTTCACACAGTGCTGTTGAACGTGGAAAGAACTTATTTCTGAGGCACAATTACCAGCTCTAACATATGAAAAGTCGTAAGGATATTTAATTTTTTCCTTTTCTTAAATTTTGATCAAACTCTTTAAAATGCTAACTTTTATTTCCCTTCTGGACAAAGCCTGTTTGTTAGACTGTGTCTCTATGCTTGGGCTTGCTGTTTGTCAATAAGATGTTGGGATCTAAACATGCTCACCAGCCTTTCTTTCCTCAGGATGATAGACAGACATACAGCATAAATGTATCGAGGACAAAAAATATCTTCTGAATGCAGCCGTCAGCGAGCCATTGAATGTCCTGTAGCAAAGGTAATGGGTCACTTATTTACCATGAAGACTGGGACGAGAACTCAAGGAATCTGAGCGGTGCTATGCCAATTGTCTAAGGGAAAGGACGCTTTTCCTTTCCCACTCAAAGAGTTAGCTTTGTTTGTTTGCACATGTTTTAGATCAATAACTGGTAATAGTAAAGGCAGAACAAAAGCTCTAATAACCATGAGCCATCTGCAGTGTGAATCGACATTTCCCAAGTTAAACACTATGTCTTGTGAGTGAATACATACAGTGGATATGATTTTTTTTTAAATTGGGGGGAAAAAAAAGCCTTGTCTCGCTACACCAAAAGGGGGCACCAGGGTATTAAAGAAGTTATGTTTTCGGAGTCTAAAAATAAAATTCTGTGAAGTTTGAAGAGGTTTTTAGTGTAAGTATTGCATACATTGATTTTTTAAACTTGTTATTTTAAAAAGTCGATTGAGTGATTTCAAGTATTTTGATAAGACCCTTTTAATACCTGAATGGAATTTTCTGTTGGTGCGGAGTCATATCTTTGGAGTTTGACAACATAAATGCCAAGTAAAAAACACATATTTTATTTGACAAAAAAAATGATGTGAAGAAAAATCACTTATTTTGTCTTATTAGAATACTAGAATGCTATTGACATAAATATAGTATTTTTCATGGAAGTTTTGGGTTATTGTGTCTTTAAAAAAATTGTCTCTTCTTTGTTGTATAAGACACTTGGTAAATGTAAGAACATTTGTTTTGTGTATGTGTGTCTGCATGGGAAATATCAGCATTCTTTATTGGCTTTACTTAGAGGTTGCAAAAAGTGGGGATCTGTGGGTTATGGAAAAGAGTAGCTAATTTAGAGATTGACTATCATAGCTCCCAGAATTCAGGAGGATTAAATAAAGACAACAGAAAGCTTTTTTTCAGAAAGATTTTCAAAGTGCACAGTTTGGTTAATGCTACCTTGTTTCTATGATTTTAGTGAAGGGAACTAGGTGGAAGAAAACTGAGCAAGATAAAATATTTTTAATATGGTGGTAAATATATGCAATGCTAATAGATGTCTCTTTTGCTTTAATGTCACCTATGAAGACTAAAAACCAGTTCAATTTCTAATTTTGTTAGTGATTAAGTGCTATTTATGTTGTTTTTCTCATCACCCTGATCCCGTGCCCCTTTCCCTTTCCCATGTGAAATAGAGACCTTTCATATGTAATCAAATCTGAACTGGTTGGTTAGCTAATAATTCCTCTTAAAAATGGAAATCAGTGGCTGCATGATCCTGTTTTTTTCTGTATCTGTACCCTTTCCAAAGATGGCTGCAATCTAAACAAAATGAGATGTCTTTTCACAGAAAATATTTTCTCCTTTAATTTTTACATGTCCAGCCACAGCTTCTTTTGAGACAAAATAAAGAAGATACAATGATGAATTTAGTTGAAATCATGTTTTATAGTTCAATTTTTACCCAGCCTTGTTTTATGCTTTGTGGTGATTTATGGAATCATGTATTATGCAATGAAAAGCAATTTACTAGCTGCTGTTTCATCCCTATAACTTTTATGAAATATGTGACTAATTAGTATATTGTTTAACTGGGAGAATTAGATTAAAAAACAAACGTCTTTCAGGTTTATTTGAAACATATGGACTTTATTCAACTGAGTAATTATTCAGGTACAATAAATTGTGATGTGTAATGCTGGAAGAGAGCTGTAATTTTATTTTAAAACATGGCAATACACAAGTCTTTATGACTGTTGTTCATCTGAAATAAAAATAGAATAGGATCATTGAATTTCTTCTTTTTATTATCACCAGTGTAGTGATTAGCATGTACTGAAATGTCCGTTTAAATGCAAGGAAGAAAAGTTACTGTTGCTTTTTGTTTTTCCCCAACATGTATCATAAAGGATGTTTGGTCTGATCATGTAATATTTTAAAAAATTATCAACAAACACTGTTTTCAAAAATGTATTTTTTCTATTTTTTTAAAAAATAGTAGTTACTTTGTTATTAATAATTGCACTATGTTACTTCTGCTTTGTGGAATTAATTTTCTTTTTTTCAGGGTAATGCTTTGTAAATTATTTCTGTACAAAATACTGTATAGATATTAATGGATATATTTTATCTCTATATACTCTTAAAGTCCTGCCACTTTGACAAAGAGTTGATATGACTGATTAATTCAGGTGTTGTACATTTTTAGAGAAACAGAAAGCCAGAATAGCTAAAAATCTGAACATGCCATTAAGCATGATACTAATAACCAATGTTTTGTCATGGCCTCAATGTATGCTTTAGTAGTTCTTGCCTTGAGTTTCAAACCATGTTCCACTTTGAAGAAATAATCTTATGGCAGCATCTGTATGAGGTCAGAATAGGCAAAATAGTAAGAAGTAGGTCAAATTCCAATCTATGTTTTTCAGCTCTTTTGTCTGTCGTTTCTTGTGACAAGATTTCACATCAGTAAGCCGCAAAGTATTTTTCTGCCTTTATTTTAGCTTTTTTTCTCCCAAAAGTCAGTTTGCTGGTGTTTAAAAATCTATCTATCCACATGCTTAATGATGTATTTTTGTGTATTTGCAAGTCATCTTTCCATGGAAGCAAATTAGTAGCCAAGTAGAGTTTATGAAAGAACCTTGAAACACAGAAAGGTCTCTGATGGGGATATTCTTCTTTAGCGAAGCTATGTCTGGACTAAAAAAAAAGAAAAAGAAAAAAAATAATCGAAATCACAGCTGCTAGGATCCCTTAGATATGTCTTTTTTACCTTCTTCTTCCACAAATTGATTTACCTACACAGGACAATCTGTGGGAGTTTTCAATCACAAGTTTTACCTTTTTTTTTTCCCCCACAATCTAGCTTGATCTCTACATGAAGGGTGAAAGGGACATTTTGGCCTCTTTCATTATAAAGACATTCAAGAAGTATAGAAAACCTGATGGAATTAAATGCAAACAAGAATTTTCAAAAACAAGTAATTAAATACCAAAATTTCCTTTTCAAATGAATCTCTATGTTATTCTAAAAATCAGACATTCTGCAGAAGAATCTTGCCAAAAAGAACTCACTTCAGGGACTAAAAAATGTGCATCCTAACCAGGTTCCTGCAGTACCTTCTAAAAGTTGAATTTTTATGTTGGGGGCAATAAACTGAAACCACAGAACTGAATTGGATTCTAGAAAAATCATATAGACCTACATGTTTTTATTTTCTCTCTAAAATGGACAAGCAGAACAGCTGAGATAAAACTCAAGGGCTGGTTTGGCTTGTCATTCGGCAGAGCTGTAATCTCTAAATTCACAATGGACTTTCTAGCTGAACCGGCCTTCACGCACTTGTTTGTTATAAATTGTGGTGTTATTTGTCAGTGTTGCTTGAGTAATGTGATAAGGAGTAGGAATGCCTAGAATTAAATTAAAGAGTTGTTCCAAACTTCAGAATTTAAAACATTTCCCTGAACTGATGTGGAGACAATACCAATCTCTCTATTTATAAAATTGAATTCTCTTGGTTTGAATAGTGAGAACGAAGGTGCTAATCTGTAGTTCTGAGAATGGCCAATTATGCCCTGTGCATCAGATGGGGCCTAATATGATTCTCAATAATTGCCAAATCAGATGCACATGAATGTAGTTTTATTATTTACTCAAAACCCATTAATGCAGTGTTCATATCAATGTGGATTCGCTCGGGTGCATTTGCAAATAAGTTTGTCTATATGGAAATGCTCCACCTCACCTTACAAAAAGACATTTCAGATCTGTTTTAAATCACTGGTACTGTTGTTCTGATTTCCAATGAGCTGGTTAGACAGAGCAACTTAAACTGGAATCTCTCAGGAGTCCTGTGCTTTGTACTTGTAATAAATTTTTTTCTTAACCATTTTCATATTTTTAATTTCATCAGGTTCCTTATCATATTCTGAGAAAGTAGACATGCATCCCCATTTTTCAGTTGAAGAAACCAAGGCTCAGAGAAGCTAAGTGAGCCTCACTAAGTCAAATGGCCAGCTAGTTGCAAAGCCATCAGCTTCCTGCTGTTAAAGTTGGAAGCCTGTAGTCTTCTCCAGTGGCCTCACAGATGATGCTTATTTGGCCTTTGCATAGTATTAAAAATATTTTTTAAATATTAGTTGTTAACACTTAAAAATTGGGAGAGATTTCACAGCTTAAAAAATAAAGATTTCTGGATTTGGTGGGAGAAAATCTTTGGCAACCCTGAATCATCATGTCTGCATGTCAGACACTCATTGGGACTGAGTCTTGGTTTTCACATCCCACAGGGCAAACTTTTTCCACGTTGCCACAGTTTATACCTGGATGGCCTTGGTACTTACCTGGTCCTGTGAGCATTTGAGTTTAAATCTCCCACACTGTGATTATCAATAATTATCAACCTTTCTTGCGTATGAGGCCCCATTTTAAATTGAAAACAAACAAACAGAAAGTTTTCTGACTTCTGGTCTACATCTTTGGTTTCCCCACCAGGCAGAGAAATCTTCAAGGGCAAGAGCAGAGTATAATTCTTCTTTGAGCCCTTCACCCCAGAATGCAGCACAATGACTAGCATACAATATGTCCTCAGGAAATTACTAGGGCAGAGAAGACACGATATTTTCTTTATGACTAGAGTTACCACAAATACCAATCTGTGGAAAATTTCTATCAGTGGAATTGGGAGAAGGAAATCAATTCCAATAGATTTCAGAATTGCAAATCCTAAAAACTCCTAATTAGAAGGAAAAAATTTATATGTGCATTTTGCTCATTTGATCTGGAGACTCCATCTACAAAACCCCAAACAACCATGAGTAAAATGTTATCTGAGCTGATGTTTTGGATGTCTGTATATATAAATGTGGCCTCTACAGACTGACTATGGGAGCCTTGGCAGATTACTGAGTACAGAACAATCACATGAGATGCTTATATCCTTGTGACTATGGCCTGAAAAGTGTCATTTTTCATTTTCCTAGTTTTTAATAATTTCAAGGTGCCAGTCAGC